CTAGACTAGACATTACACTATAGACTAGACTATAGACTAGACTATAGACTAGACCATAGACTAGACTATAGACTAGACTATAGACTAGACTATAGACTAGACTATAGACTAGACTATAGACTAGACTATAGACTAGACTATAGACTAGACTATAGACTAGACTATAGACTAGACTATAGACTAGACTATAGACTAGACTATAGACTAGACTGTAGACTAGACTATAGACTAGACTATAGACTAGACTATAGACTAGACTATAGACTAGACTATAGACTAGACTATAGACTAGACTATAGACTAGACTATAGACTAGACTATAGACTAGACTATAGACTAGACTATAGACTAGACTATAGACTAGACTATAGACTAGACTATAGACTAGACTATAGACTAGACTATAGACTAGACTATAGACTAGACTATAGACTAGACTATAGACTAGACTATAGACTAGACTATAGACTAGACTATAGACTAGACTATAGACTAGACTATAGACTAGACTATAGACTAGACTATAGACTATAGACTAGACTATAGACTAGACTATAGACTAGACTATAGACTAGACTATAGACTAGACTATAGACTAGACTATAGACTAGACTATAGACTAGACTATAGACTAGACTATAGACTAGACTATAGACTAGACTATAGACTAGACTATAGACTAGACTATAGACTAGACTATAGGCTAGACTAGAACATAGGCTAGACTATAGACTAGACTATAGACTAGACTATAGACTAGACTATAGACTAGACTATAGACTAGACTATAGACTAGACTATAGACTAGACTATAGACTGGACTATAGACTAGACTATAGACTAGACTATATAGACTAGACTATATACTAGACTGTAGACTAGACTGTAGACTAGACTGTAGACTAGACTGTAGACTAGACTGTATACTAGACTGTATACTAGACTGTATACTAGCTGTAGACTAGATTGTAGGACTAGACTGTAGACTAGATTGTAGACTAGACTGTAGACTAGACTTATAAATAGACTGTAGACTAGACTGTAGACTAGACTGTATACTAGACTGTATACTAGACTGTATACTAGACTGTAGACTAGACTGTGGACTAGACTGTAGACTAGACTAGACTGTAGACTAGACTATAGACTAGACTATAGACTAGACTATAGACAAGACTATAGACTAGACTATAGACTAGACTATAGACTAGACTATAGACTAGACTATAGACTAGACTATATACTAGACTATATACTAGACTATAGACTAGACTATAGACTAGACTATAGACTAGACTATAGACTAGACTATAGACTAGACTATAGACTAGACTATAGACTAGACTGTAGACTAGACTATAGACTAGACTGTAGACTAGACTATAGACTAGACTATAGACTAGACTATAGACTAGACTTGGACTAGACTATAGACCTATAGGACTAGACTATAGACTAGACTATAGACTAGACTATAGACTAGACTATAGACTAGACTATAGACTATACTATAGACTATACTATAGACTAGACTATAGACTAGACTATAGACTATACTATAGACTAGACTACTAGACTAGACTATAGAACTAGACTATAGACTAGACTATAGACTAGACTATAGACTAGACTATAGACTAGACTATAGACTAGACTATAGACTAGACTATAGACTAGACTATAGACTAGACTATAGACTAGACTATAGACTAGACTATAGACTAGACTATAGACTAGACTATAGACTAGACTATAGACTAGACTAGTAGACTAGACTATAGACTAGACTATAGACTAGACTATAGACTAGACTATAGACTAGACTATAGACTAGACTATAGACTAGACTATAGACTAGACTATAGACTAGACTATAGACTAGACTATAGACTAGACTATAGACTAGACTATAGACTAGACTATAGACTAGACTATGACTAGACTATAGACCTAGACTATAGACTAGACTATAGACTAGACTATAGACTAGACTATAGACTAGACTATAGACTAGACTATAGACTAGACTATAGACTAGACTAATAGACTAGACTATTGACTAGACTATAGACTAGACTATTGACTAGACTATAGACTAGACTATAGACTAGACTATAGACTAGACTATAGACTAGACTGTAGACTAGACTGTAGACTAGACCTGTAGACTAGACTGTAGACTAGACTGTAGACTAGACTGTAGACTAGACTGTAGACTAAACTGTAGACTAGACTGTAGACTAAACTGTAGACTAGACTGTAGACTAGATTGTAGACTAGACTGTAGACTAGACTGTAGACTAGACTGTAGACTAGACTGTAGACTAGACTGTAGACTAGACTGTAGACTAGACTGTAGACTAGACTGTAGACTAGACTGTAGACTAGACTATAGACTAGTTTTGATGTAGGAACAGTATCGAAAAAAGTACTAAAGTACTGAATTTTCCATACCTGACACAAACCATCCTTGCCTTATCCCCAAACGCTCTGTTGTGTAGCATGTGTTTATTTAGTTTTTGTTGTTTTATTTTCTACTCATAACAAAACGACAACATCCTCATATTGTTTTATTTTGTTGTTGTTTTTTTTACTCTTTTTTGTTTATTTTATGTTCATTTAAAAAAAAATAAACTAACACGATCTTTGTATATTCATTGCAAGTTTATAAATGTGTCTCTCTACTCGTATTACAGCTAAATTGTCAAAAGTCATACCGTTGACTTGTTAAAAATTTAATGTTTATTTATGAGAGTTTTTGTATAAATGTACAAAATATATGATAAATTTGTATGATTATATTTAAGGGAATGGTTTAAGGTTTTTTTTTAGATTTTTATTGAAAAAATTAGCCATTAAGAAAATTGTAATATTTTATTTCGAAAAATAAACAATTTTCAACTTTAAGAGGATATTATAATGACAGCTTTTTAGAAATTTTATTGATCGTAATTATCGATTAAGAAAATGTACCAGAAACTCCCCTTTTATTAATTTTATTTCAGTCAGTATGCAGCGTGCTTAATTATACGTTTCTTAGTTTCAATATTATAAAAGATTCAAAAAGTACTAGTTGAAGAACAAAAAGTACCAAAAAATGCATACATATGTATGTATGTAAAAACCAAAAAGTACCAGACTAGACTATACCTACAGATTTTCATTCACTCGGGACTCTAAATGCTTAATTTTATGTTTGAAGTTTCAATATTATAAAAAATTCAAAAAGTACCTTTTGAAGAACGAAAAAGTCCTCTTTTATAGGTTTAGAAAGTATCTTTTGAACAACGAAAAAGTACCAAAAAGTCCTCTTTTATGGGTTCTTATTTACTCCTGGCTTGAAATGCTTAATTTTATGTTTCTAGGTTCAATATTATAGAAAATTCAAAAGTACCTTTTGAAGAATGAAAAAGCACCAAAAATTTATCTTTTATAGGTTCTTCATCCTTGAAAATTCATAAAGTACCTTTTGAAGAACGAAAATGTACCAAAATGTTCTCCTTTTATGGGTTCTCATTTACTCCAGGTTGTTGTTGCTTTTTCCAGATTTCAGGACACGTTATCTCAAATCCTAGATGTGATGAAGAAAATCAGAGTCAGATTCGGATTCAGCGCTGCTTAATCCTTTAGAAAAGTATACTTTGGTCTCTCACTGTCGGCCTGTGTAAATCTATGGATCTTTCTGCAAAGTAACGAAAACATTTAAGGTCAGATTCGGATGCAGCTAGGCTCAATCTTTTAGAAGCGTCTAACTTGGTCTCAAGTTTTTGAGTTTTATTTTCAAATTTTGTCGGCCTTTGCTTATTTAAAATAAAAGACTTAAGCAGCGAACATGATATCTCACAAAAGACTTAAGAAACAAACAGCGCACAGCTTACATTAGCAACAAATGTTGCTGAAACATTTTCAAAAAAACATATACATACATACATGTGAGTAGTTTAAATTCTTAAAAATATTGTGAGATTAAATTTATAAATATTTTTAAGATTTTTTTGGAAAGACTTAAGAAACAAACAGCACTCAGTTTACTTTAGCAACAAATGTTGCTGAAACATTTTTATTAAAAACACTTAAAGAGTTGAAACAAATTCTTTAAAATATTATGAGATTGAATTTATAAATCAAAGTAAAAGCATTTCTTTTTATAGTCTTTCCAACAAATAAATGATGCACAACACGTTCGAAATGTAATTACATATATGAATACCAACAAAAACAAAAAGCTTTTTGTTGCTAAACTTACCAACAATAAAGTTTAGACACAAGTGAATTTGTTGTTGAAGCAGAAGCAGTTAAATGGTCAAATAAATAAATAAAAAGTGAAGATATGGGTAAAAAAGCGCAAGTGTTGTATTGTTTATATTTCTACAAATTTGTTTTGGAAGAGACTAGTAACTACTACTACAAGAGTGTTTGTTTATTTGTGGGTTTACGTGTGTGCATATGTATATGCCCCTCGTGTTGTTATCGATGAGTTTTATGTGTGTTTATTTTGGTAGAAGAAAAAAAAACACTCTTATGCGAATATATCGATGAAGAGCCCCACGACCATGAGGGTTTTTGTAGTGTAACATTACAAACCATTACGATGAGCAACGGCAGCAGCAGCAACAACAACAAGAACGACCAATACAACAACATAGACGACAAGTTGTTAGTTTAGCGAGGAATTAACGCGAATTCAGTTTTATAACGAACATCGACTGTAACGGATGCTTTTAGCGGAAATAACTGAATAAAAAACTTACTGTTAACAAAATTTAAATTTTGAAAAAATTACAATAAAAAAACTCGCTTAAGTGGCTTTAATGAATTTTTTTTCAATTTTTCAAAAATAATAATACAAAAACGCACAAATTAAAAAAAAATTAAAAATAAAAATTTGTGGCAAATAAACAACCTTAACTAATCAAGTGTATGTGTGTGATTTGCGTTATTTTTAGTGTTTTTTTTTTTTTTTTGTTAGAGTGTAATATTTGTTTTTGTTGCATGTTGCCTGTTGTTTGATGATTATTTAGCAAGTTTGTTACATGCAGCAGCAGCATATTAGCAACGGCTGCCGCCAGTTTGAAAAGTCTTAGTAACTTTTTTTTTTTTGATTTTTTAATGCGACACAACAAATAAAAAGTGAAACTTTTTTCTTCAAAAAAAGTGCTACCAACCAATAGCACTTAATGAAGTTATAAAAAAAAAAATCAAAAACAAACCGTTAAGGATAACAAAAAATCTTAAAAAAATTATAAATACTTAAAGCAATAAATTCAACTTTAACTTTATTTCTTGGTTATTTTTCTTAACAATAACCCTTAATTGGATTTAATTTTTGCCATTTATATAGTTTATGGTATGTATAATGGGAATCCAATAAAGAAAAATTTCACAAAACTTTTTCATTTACCACCTATTAAATCATATTAATTAGATACGCCTATTAATGTAGAAGTATAATAAAACATGTATTATTTAACTAACTACTTCTACCCGGTGTTGTGCGGGATTGTGAAAATTAAATAAATCTTTTTGTTATTTTAGAAAATTTTCAATGAAAAAGTGTAGTGAAATATCTTTTCATTAAAGTGATCACAATTATTTTTTAAATTCGACTGAACGGTTAGAAAGGGATTGGATTTTCGATTTTCCATATGAAGATCGGTTTTTGATGGTAAATTAAAGTGATCGCATATTTTCGGCATAGAAGTGATCGCCAATTTTTGGAGCGTTATTATATATAGAATGATCTATAGTCTAGACTATAGTTCGATCTATAGGCTAGACTATAGACTGATCTATAGTCAAAACTATAGACTGAACTATAGTCAAGACTATAGACTGATCTATAGTCTTATAGGAGCGTTATTATATATAGACTGATCTATAGTCTAGACTATAGTTTGATCTATAGTCAAGACTATAGACTGATCTATAGTCAAGACTATAGACTGATCTATAGTCAAGACTATAGACTGATCTATAATCAAGATTATAGACTGATCTATAGTCTAGACTATAGACTGATCTACAGTCTAGACTATAGACTGATCTATAGTCAAGACTATAGACTGATCTATAGTCAAGACTATAGACTGATCTATAATCAAGACTATAGACTGATCTATAGTCTAGACTATAGACTGATCTATAGTCTAGACTATAGACTGATCTATAGTCTAGACTATAGACTGATCTATAGTCTAGACTATAGACTGATCTATAGTCTAGACTATAGACTGATCTATAGTCAAGACTATAGACTGATCTATAGTCAAGACTATAGACTGATCTATAGTCTAGACTATAGACTGATCTATAGTCTAGACTATAGACTGATCTATAGTCTAGACTATAGACTGATCTATAGTCTAGACTATAGACTGATCTATAGTCTAGACTATAGACTGATCTATAGTCTAGATTATAGACTGATCCATAGTCAAGACTATAGACTGATCTATAGTCTAGACTATAGACTGATCTACAGTCAAGACTATAGACTGATCTACAGTCTAGACTATAGAATGATCTATAGTCTAGACTATAGACTGATCTATAGTCTAGACTATAGATCATTCTATAGTCTAGACTATAGACTGATCTATAGTCTAGATTATAGACTGATCCACAGTCAAGACTATAGACTGATCTATAGTCAAGACTATAGACTGATCTATAGTCAAGACTATAGACTGATCTATAGTCTAGACTATAGACTGATCTATAGTCTAGACTATAGACTGATCTATAGTCTAGACTATAGACTGATCTATAGTCTAGATTATAGACTGATCCATAGTCAAGACTATAGACTGATCTATAGTCTAGACTATAGACTGATCTGTAGTCTAGACTATAGATTGATCTGTAGTCTAAACTATAGACGATTTATAGTCTGGGCTATAGACTGATCTATAGTCAAGACTACCGACTGCCTATAGTCAACAGACAGATTCATAATCTGTACTATGGACTGATCTATAGTCTAGGCCATAGATTGATCTATAGGCTGATCTGTAGTCTAGACTTCGAAGAAATACAATTTTTTTCCTCGATTAATCGAACAATTTTTTTTTTTGAATGACAACCCTAGTCTTGACTCAGTCTATAGTTTTGACTAAAGATTAGTCTAGACTATAGATCAGAATATAGTCTAGAATACAGATAAGTCTATAGCTAGACTATAGATCAGTCTGTAATCTAGACTATAGATCAGTCAATAATCTAGACTATAGATCAGTCAATAATCTAGACTATAGATCAGTCAATAATCTAGATCATAGATCAGTCTATAGTCTAGACTATAGATCAGTCCATAGCTAGACTATAGATCAGTTTATAGTCTAGATTATAGATCAGTCCATAGCTAGACTATAGATCAGTCCATAGCTAGACTATAGATCAGTCTATAGTCTAGACTACAGATCAGTCAAAATTCTTGTATAGACCTGTCTGTCTTTACTATAGATCAGTCTATAGTCCTAATTATAAAGCAGTCAATCGATTTTACAATAGATCAGTCTACTATAGACCGATTTCTGTATATAAACTGTTAACTATACATCAGTCTATAGTATTGACTACAAGTCTGGTATAGTTCTGGCTATATATCCGTTTTTAGTATTTAATATACATAGATCTATCTATAGCAATCGATCGCTTATAAATTTCAGAATTTGATCACGATTATAGCTTCTGAAAACATATCTACTTTAAAGCAAATCAATACTATTAAATGACGAACAAACAAACACTCTTATTTACAAATTTACAAGATTATTTTGGTTTGCAAAAAATCAAATTTCATAAGTGTTGAAAATTTATTTAATTTATGTATTCAAACATAAGTGAATTTTTTTGTTGTTTATTTAAAATAATTTTTTTTAATTAAATAACATTAACGTAATTTAGCTGCACGTGCTTACAATGTTTTGTTTGATTATAATCTTGAGACAATAACAACGAAAAAAAAGTTGCATCATCCTTCACATACAACATACACTATAATTATTTTATGACGTTTTTACAACCTCATGCGCTTTATGGTGTTTTTTTCTTATTTTATGTATATTTTTTTCTTGTAAAGAAATTGTTTAAATTACTTTAAATTACCTCTTATTATAAAGATTTTTTTGATAAGTAACGAAAAACTTTTGCAATTTGCAACATTGTGTATGAAAAATTTACATAATTGTGCGAAGATAAAAAAAAATCAGGATTTTGGTTTGGTTGATTTTTGCAAAAGAAATTAAAAGATATACAATGGAGATAGTAATTTATTGATACTCAAATTATATATTATCCATTGGAAGTTAAAAACGATTTAATTTTTATTATAGTTTCTTGGAATCGTCTTGGGAGAGTGATATGTACATTGTTTTAGTGATACCTGATAACTAAAACAAAACATGTAAAATTTGTTAATATATATTTAATCCTAATATTTAGTCAAACCTGATTTTAAAATTCAATAAACAATTTAACTAATGCTTCCTAAATGCTCATTACATTAATGTCACACTCATAACATGCATTTTCACTTTTGATTTTAGATTCTAAATATGTTTTTCCAACGAAAACTTATTTATAATCATTATACTACTAATACCAATCGGATTTTACTTGGTTGGTTAGTTGGCTAAAAGATATGTACTAATTGCAGTGACAAGTGGTAGTAACAGCAGTAGCAGTAATAGTGTAAAGTCTGTGGCAATCGTAATGTTAATAGCATTTCTTCATTCATTCATACATTTATTTGTATTGGCTACTTATACGCTATAGCACTACAGTGCAGAGGGTGGTATAATACGTTTGTGCTAATGTTTGTAACGACTGTAAAAAATATTAATGAAATAGGAAATATTTTGTCAATAAAATAAACGATGTGAGTACGTTGCTTATAAATTAATTTGTAATCTTGACTATAGATCAGTCTATAGTCTTGACTATAATCTTGACTATAGATTAGTCTATAGTGTTGCCTATAGATAAGTCTATTGTCTTGACTATAGATCAGTCTACAGTCTTGACTATAGATCAGTCTATAGTCTTGAATATAGATCAGTCTATAGTCTTGACTAGGGAACAGTCTATAATCTTGACTATAGATCAGTCTATAGTCTTGACTATAATCTTGACTATAGATTAGTCTATAGTTTGTAGTCTATAGTCTTAACTATAGATCAGTCTATAGTCTTGACTAGGGAACAGTCTATAGTCTTGCCTATAGATCAGTCTATAGTCTTGACTATGGATCGTCTATAGTTTTGACTATAGATCAGTCTATAGTCTTGACTATAGACAGGTCTTAATTATTGATCAAGCTGTAGTGTTGACTAGAGATAAGTCTATAGTCTTGATTATAGATCGGTATAAATAAAGATCAGTCTATAATCAGAAAAACTTTAGACTGATATTGACTATAGATCAGTAAAGACTATATGATCTATAGTCAGGATCAGTCTAAAGTCTTTACTATTAATCGGTTGATAGACTTGACTAGAGATCAGTCCATAGTCCTAACTAAAGATCAGTCTAAATTATTGATTATTGATCTCTCTTAACTCATTACTTTACTATTGACTATAGATCAGTCTATAGTCTAGACTTTAGATCTGTCTATAGTCTTGAGTACAGATCAGTAAAGATTTAAGACTGATCTTGAATATATTTCAGTCTTGACAATTGATCGGTTTATAGTCTTGACTTTAGATCAGTCTATACTCTTAACTTTAAATCAGTCTATAGTCTTAAGATCAGTCAATAGTCCATAGTCTTGACTATAGATCAGTTTGTAGTCTATAGTCTTAACTATAGATCAGTCTATAGTCTTGACTATAAATAAGTTTATAGTCTATAGCCTTGACTATAGATAAAAGTATTGACTATTGATCAGTCGATAGTCTTGACAAGAGATCAGTCTTTAGTCCTGACTCTTGATCAGTCTATAGTTGTAGACTATATCGGACTATAATCTAGACTATATAGAGAAACTTATGGTCTTCGAGTGGAAGTGTACCTTTTTATGATGCATAACCCTTCCTAACACAAACCTAAACTCTTAAGTATAGATCAGTCTTAACCATAGATCGGTCTATAATCATAACTAAAATTAGTCTATAGTCTTGACTACAGATCTGTGCATAGTCTGGACAACAACTCTGTAATTGCAAGACCTAATTCAACAAATTTGTACATATCGCTGTAGGGTAGTACAAAATTGGGATTGGCTCCCTACACTTTCTTACTAGGCTTTTAACATTTATTATTAAATAAAAAAAGAAAATAAAAAACAAACAAAAATAGTCAAATAGACAAGAGAGTAAATAAACAAACTCTAAGAAACTTATTATT